TCCTGCTGTTTTTAATTTTTTGCATATGCTGTCTTCTCAGCTTTCATGCATATTTAAGCAATATTTAAGTGACCATATAGCTTTTTTAATACAAAAGGTGCACCTTGTTTTCTCACTCAGCATACCTCAAAAGTCTTTCCATATTGGTGAGAACATGTTATTAAGGACTTCTATTTATATTTATTTTTAAATTGGAATTCTTATTGAGATAATTGTAGATTCACATGCAATTAATTATAAGAACGAATAGAGAGAACCTGTGTACCTTATCCAGTTTCCCCTAATTATAACATTTTGCAAAACGCTGATATATTATCACAACCAGGATATTGACATTGATGCAATCTACCACTTTATAACCTTTCATTGTGAGTCTTCTAGTGAATCTTTTAAAAGTAAAACTTGAAATTTAGTATTAAACACCAGTGCCCTATACCCTACTTAGTTTGCTCAGTTTCTGGACAGGAAAAAAATCTAGATTATTATATCAGTGACTAGTTATACAAGAATATCAGGTTATTTTCTCCCTCTTTGAGGACTAGTGTTAAAGGAGGTCATCTGGAAGGAATGCAAATGACTGATTTGGAAAATAATTCTGAAACTGGGGAATTACAACCTATACTACCTGAAGGAGCTTCAGTTGCCCCAGAGGAAGGTAAGGAATGATAAAGTCATAGTTGGCGGGAGGCGAAATAATCTTTTTTTGGTGGTGGTTGGGAGTGGCTGGTTTAGTAAAACAGTTACTGAGATGTTATCTACTATCTGACATGCTTGATCTGAAAACAGCATTTGTTGTGCCTCTGAGTTTGATTTACTAGGACACTAATGGAACACAATGGAAGGCAAAATGGATAATCGACTACATAAAAGGACATCTTACTAGAACAGGCATTTACGGGGGGAAGCCTGCAGATACTTCGTTTGCTCACTCATTAAATGTGTTATGCTACCTACATGATAGGCATTGAAGTTTTGCTAGATATGAAAAGGTTAAATTGGATATGTTCAGTGTCTTACGGGAAAAACATGCCCCCAGACAACTGATTAGAATATTAAATGTTAAGTACCTCGTCTTTTAAAGTCAGTCTTGATTAATGTTTATAGATTACTTTGCTCTTTTAGAAGGATTCCAAACTTTAACCATTTAAAAAATCCTTTATGGTAACCAGCTTCTACTCTGCCAGTTCATTCTCAGTTACGTTTCTAGTATTTGTCTACATGTTCTTCCAGGTCCATTATTCTTTATCTGAAAGCGTAGAAGACTTTTTTGTAATTTTGAATTAACAGAAGGTGCTTGAAACAAGGCTATGTGTGTTGCCCTTGCTTGTCCTTTATATGTCAGCAGAAAAGCATGTCAACTTTATTAATGATATTTGGCACTGGGATTTTTCATTTCTTAGTGAAACTCTGCCACCTACCACCTCTGCACTTATTTGAATTTCAACGATTGATGAATTGTAGCTCAAAGCATATATAAAAGGTGCCAGCATCTACCTCTGACTGCTCTGTGAGTGTGTGGGGGTGGTGGCATTTTCAGGTTTTTCAGTTAAAGAACACTAAACATTTTGGTCTTCCATCTTAGTTGGTGCTTCTGTGGTGGGCAGCACTATTTCAGTAGAAATTAAATGGAAAGGATTTTCAAAGTGAAGTGTTGATTGTTAAAACAACAGGAAAAATATATTATGATTGATCTTTATAGAAAGGACCTATAAGGATTAGCTAGCAGGGCTTAGCTAGTTTCCATGTATTTTTATATACTGATTATAGATTGTAGTGGCTTAAATTGTTTTAGCATGTGCTGAAATTATAGGCTCCTTCTATTTATGCACCATTTGTGAAATGCTTCTAATTTGTCTGGCATTGTTTTGATGCTGGTGATAAAGTAATTCCTGAACCTACTGTTTAGTTCAGGGTTTCTCTACCTTGGTGCCATTGACATTTTGGGCCAGGTGATTCTTTGTATTAGGGGCCTGCCCTGTGCATTGTAGAATGTTTAGCAGCATTCTTGGCTTTTAACCACTAGGTGCCAGTAGTACCTCCTCTGAATTACAGTAACCAAAAATGTCTCAAGACATTGCCAAATGTCCCCTGGGAGGCAAAATCATCCCCAGTTGAGAACCACTGGTTGAGTTGAAAACTCAAACCAGGGGTGACAACTCCTTAAGAATCACTTGCCAGAGTGGGTCATAGTTACAAATGGGAGCAAGTTGTTCTCAAGTATGCTGGGTATGTGTTGGTGGTGGTGGGAAGGGAGCAGGGAGAGCAATTGAAAACCAAAAAACAGGTGTTAGAGACCAGTTAATAGCCAATTATAATATGGAATGATGAGTGCTGTGATGGGGTATATAGGGAGCTCAACTAACAGGTATGTAATAATAAAAATAATAGATAGTATTTGCAAGCCCTCATTAGGTATTAAGACTGCTAAAGACTTTACCAGTATTATGTTTTCTCAGTACAGACCTACATGGTTACTTTATTATATTGATTTTACAGGTGAGTAGGCGGGGGCCTAGAGATGTAACTTACCTTACTCAAAGTCACAGAGCCAATGCTCTTAACTATCACCTCTCTACCAACCTAGTCCACACTTGGAAAGATCATCCTCAGGGATGAGTATGAGTTAGTATGAGTTGTGAAGACTGGTGAAAGATGAGGCCAGAGGGGAGGCAGAGGTCAGATCATCAGGAATTATACTGTATGTCTAGCTAGAATTTGGACTTTGTCCTTTGAATGGAATATAAGCAAGGAGTGAAATAATAAAATTATGTTTTAAAATTCCTACTCTAGCTGAGTTGGGGACTGGGAATGGGGTGTGGAACTCTGGGGACAGGAAGACTGGTAAAAGAAGAATGTTAAATTAAACTTGGACTTTTAAATTTCAGCCTTCATCTCATAAATTCACATTTTCTCAGCAGTTTTTCTATGTAAATAGCTAGTTAGCACCAAAAAACCCCATAAGTTTTGACATTAGTTCCATTTCTTTTTTTAAAGCTAATCATTAACAGCTTATCCTAAACTGGAGAAAGGCATTTGCTTGGCCACATTTAGGATCTGCTCTGCACTTTCAAGTCTTTGAATCTGAGATTTAGTGCTGTCAGTGTTACTCAGTAACACATTTTTTCTTATGTAAGGAGTGTTGTAGTGATGCAAAGCACCTAGAACTCAATAAGAAAAGTTACTGTAAACATGCAAATCAGTAGTGCCAGGAAAGTCCACTATTGCAATTTTTTGGTATCTAAACAGCTTATTTACCACTAGAGTCCCAGGATAGGCCGTGAGGAGACTAATTGATAAGGCTGGAAGAAGGCAATAGGTAAACTAAAGGAGCTCTGTGCCTTTTGAAATTTGCTTTGTGAGAGGAGAATGGGACCTTACTTACTGCTGTGGGTATATTCTGTCATCAGCAGGAGCCAGTTCTCAAGAAAACCTTTATTTTTCGCACCGGTAAAGCCTTGATGAAAAGTTGAATGGGGTTGTCTCACATCTGTGCTTAGGAATAACGAGCCTCTTTATTCTTAAGCAGAATGCCTAAAAGAAAATTTTCTGTGGTAGGTCACTGTAAATTGGTGTCTCTCTCCTCTCCTCTTCCTCCCTCCCTACTGCCAGGCTGTTTGAAGAAACTTTAAAAATTTTTTTTAAAGTTTAAAGTTTTTAAAACTTTAAAATTCTTTGTGTTTACTAGTTGGGAATTTGGGACAACTAAAGTGGTCTCTTAAATGTTCCTGAGAGTCAATAAAAAGTGACTTTTCTTAGACTTGACAGTCATCAACAGGCCTTTTCCTTTCTAACTGGGATCATATGGGACAACCTTGTGTTAATCTCCTAGTTAATGGCTGGATTGCAAAAATCTTAATTTCCTTCTCACACCCCCCCCTACCCCAATTGATACCTACAGAATTCCTTAGGTAGACCGGTCTCTTCCTTGTTCTATCTAAAACTGGAGACTATGCGATTGACTTCTGCTGAATTAGCACAGTCCTTTTCAATTAAGTCAGGGGTGTCACCCATCCCAGGGAAAGCCATGGCATGCCTATTGCAAACCTTACTGTCACCCTATCTAAGAGTAGTACACAAGTCTGAGGCTCCAGCATTGCTGATCCCTTTTGGTGTATCAATGAAGACATAAGTCACAAAAACCCAATCAGCTGGTTTAAGCAATAGGAAGATTTACTGTCTTGTATTAACAAGAAGTCTCACCTAACTCTGGTAGGGCAGTTTCAAGGTTGGAAAATTTACCTGCTTAATGTCATCAAGAACTCATTTCCTCCCACCAGCCCCATCCTCCCATCTTTTGCTCTGCCATTCTAAGTGACTTGGCTTAGCTCCCCTCAGGATGGCAAGGTGGTTGCTGCAGCTAAACTTTATATGGAGTCAGAAAAACATTCTGGGAGTAGGGGAGGATTATTTCATTTTATATGTCTCTGTTTATCAGTGTTTATCAATGAGAGCACATCTCATTAATCAGTAGTGAAAAAAAAAGGAAACTTGGCAAAGTCTGAACATTTGGTTCCCCTCCCTGATCCATTCCATGTGGCCACTTGGAGAAGGGAAGACGGCTGAACAACATTGAGGTTCTGCTGGAAAGGAGGAAGGCAAGTGAAGCATTAGTGTTTGGTCTCCCGGGTGGTTAATGTATTTTCCAAGCAGCTGAAGTTTGAGCACCCCTGAATAAGGGCGTTATAACTCAAAAGTTAGCTTTGGACTACTGAGCATATAGTGGATACTCAAAAAATATGGTAGGTGATTGATGTAGAAATACCCTATTTCACATTTTACTTTAAGATGCAGGGTTGATTTTGGGTTTTTTTCCCCCACATGAACATCTCTGAAGCATCTTCCATTTAATGGTATCTTACAGTAATTATCATTGACAGCCAGTTTTGTGAAAACTTGTTGACACCTTCTGGTGAGATTAAGAAAGGTCCTGTATTCAAATTTCTTATAGTTGGTGAAATATCACTAGTTTGCTTTAACCTTTACTTAATGCAGTAGGTGGACATTGCAATGTATGGGGCAAGGCACATAGCAAATAGCTTGTGACCTGTTGCTTGACAGTAGCTACTTTCATTTCCAAAAAATGAAAGTATTTGACCTTATGTTGTGTTTACTTGCTCTCACTGATGTCAGTGGGTTGTACAGGACCTGGTGACCCCATAGGTCAACTATTAAGCTAGAGGTCAAGAGACCAATTTGTTTTTCTCATTACATTTACAGAGCTAGGGAACTTCAGATCTTAGGACTTGATAAAAAAAACAAGTAGTGTTTTCATGCAGGAATTTGTTTCCAACACTTCTTGGGAAATGCATGTTTTTCTGAATCCTAAGAAAAGTAAAGAAATCAGAAAACCAGAAAAAATTATACTAGTTCTCCTGTTAGAGTTAATCTTAACAGTCAACACAGAAACATGGGGACTTCCTGGCGGTCCAGTGGCTAAGACTCCACGCGTCCACTGCATGGGGCACAGGTTCAGTCCCTGGTCGGGGAACTAAGATCCCACATACTGCATGACGTGGCCAAAAAATGAATTAAAAACAAAACAAAACAGAAAAAACAGAGAAACATGACTGCTTTGGAAGAATCCACTAATGGCAAGTTGAAAGTATAAACTGGAAATGCTGGTACCTAGAATCAAAGGTTAAGATCAATGGGAGCACCTTGAAAAGAAGCAATTGCAGTCAAATCAGCCCTGGCTATAGCTGTTGCCATTTTATAAGTATGTGTTCATGGCCCTGTCTGCTGCTATGTAAATATTAATGAGTCTATACTATACTGTACAGGAATCCTGTGAGTGGTACTCCAAGAAATAGGAAGTTTCAAAAGCAAAAGAATTCCTCATATTGGCATTTTTTTTAATAGATTTATTTTTGGCTACGTTGGGTCTTCATTGCAGCGCACGGGCTTTCTCTAGTTGTGGCGAGCGGGGACTACTCTTTGTGCACGTGCTTCTCGTTGCGGTGGTTTCTCTTGTTGCGGAGCACGGACTCTAGGCGCACAGGCTTCAGTAGTTGTGGCTCACGGGCTCTAGAGCACAGGCTCAGTAGTTGTGGTGCACGGGCTTAGTTGCTCCGCGGCATGTGGGATCTTCCCGGGCTAGGGCTCGAACCCGTGTTCCCGGCATTGGAAGGCGGATTCTTAACCACTGCACCACCAGGGAAGTCCCCATGTTGGCTTTTT